TAGAATTATAGCCCGATCGGGATATAGTGTAAAATATGTCCCGATCGAGCTATAATATCCCGATTGGGATATAATTCTATAGCCCAATCGGGATATATAGCCCGATCGGGATATGCTTCTACACTGTGAGACATACATGACCAGATAGAGCTCGACGAGTAGATTCCGAATATGTCCTTGGAATTAAATTTGCATCAAGTTTGGAGAAGAGAAATCTTCAAAATACGAAGGTATGAAAAACTAGTTTGTAGTTCTATCCTTTTCTTTTTCACGTAGATTGTGGTAGGCATGAATATTTTACATCGTGTGGTACAGCATGTCCTGATACATGTCAAAATATTTATGTACGCCCATGTATATGCACACAACAATGTGTTGTTGGATGTTTTTGTCTTTAAAGTTATGTAAGAAACAATCGCCGACAATGTACAAGACCATTTCTGTGTAACTCATAGAGAAAAAATTTAGTTTCAAATTAGTATTTCAAATATAATGAACAAGAAGAAACGTTAAAGTGTTTTTCCACCAAATACCTGTAACGACTAAATTTTTTGTATATTAATTACTTCTACTCCACAGTTAGAACCATTGTTCTGTCTGCATCCAATCCCAAATATCTGCCTGTTTGAAAATTATATCAACAGAATGGCACCACGATTCATCAAACCGGTAGAAGTTAAAAGATACTTTCAATATCTAGTTCTAGTTCTGTCGAAAAATTATACATATAACTTCTTTTTTGTCTCTCTCGTTTTTCGATTATTTGTGCTAGGAGATAACTGTTATTCGATTTTTTGATTTAAGTCTTCTCCAGTCGCAGCGCAGCCACTAGCTACGCTGCTGCTGCAGAAGACTTAAATCAGTTTTTGGACCGGCTAATAGCCAGTCCCAAAAGTTTTGGATATATAGCCCTTTATAGAACACTATTATGTACATTCCATACATATTACCGAAGGTTTAATTATATAAACCAGGGCTTAGTAGAACAAAGAAATTATTAAACGTACCGATGGATCATTATATGATTTAATTCAACACTTTATAAACGACCCAATTAAAACAAGAAAGACTGATGATTTCGTTGTTAATGATAAAGCAGAAGAAGTCAAGGAAGAGCAGAAAAATTAATGAGAATAATTAAGAAAATATTGCATCAGAAGAAGTAAAATGATGCAATATTTTCTTAATTATTTTCATTAAATAACAAAGAACTTTTCTCGAGTATTCGTAAAAGTGAATATTATGGACATGAAAGTAAAAATTACGTTTAAATTGATCATTTATTGTTTTTGGTGTAACAAAAGATATCTGCTTTAAATTTTATGCTTTGCCCGAACAATATTAGAAAAACCAGAATAATAGAAATACAGAAGAGCACGTTGAGTCAGTCGGTTAGTGCTTGGGCAGACAACGTACTTCAAACATACGGAGTTCGAAGTTCGGCAACGGCGGTCGCATGATAGTCTTGGACAAGCTATCTAATGCTGATTGTCTGAGTACCTTTGGACACAGATGCAATGGGGTAACCCGATTTCAGTGGCATTTGGACTGGAGAGATGAAAGTTAAACTTTACGAAAGAAAAAACAAAAAAATAGAATCTGTACAGGAAAAGAAAAGCTGGTAACGAGCGTCTATATAATAATATTACTTATTTTATGGTAAACTAACGGAAGCTCTTCGTATGTCTTCTTATTTAGGCAGTCGTAAAACGTCATGGGGGATTGTTACTGCTTCACGCTATTCTTTCGATAAGGATGGTTCTAATCGATGAAGCAGATTATCGGTTTTTGAGACTTCGGTCATGTCTTGATCAATTCTTTTAAATAATTTGGCTATGCCGTAAAACATTATCATTGCAGATGATTTACAGAATTCTAGAAAAAATATAGATCTTCTATTACCCAGTAAGCTTATTCGTCATTTAACCTAGCTGTGTGTGAGTAAGATGAAATGTTTTCTTGTTTAGTGTTTACCGTTCGTTCCTCTTATTCTCAAGAAAAAATGTCCTCTATTTTGTCGGTGCAAAGCAGTCAGTTTTAAATTAAATTTCTCCCTTTAAGTATAAAAGTATGGATTACTATTAATATTTCATTAGCTTGAATGTTTATAGTAAATACATTGCACTTTAAAAAAGAATGTTGTGCTAAACATTCTAGTAACCATTTCATGGATATTTTAAACATCATCAATCTATTATTGGTAAATTGACACTCAAGAACACAGATTGCTGCCGTTTCGCAAGCAATTTCTGAAAAGGTTCCTCCATGCAGTCACTCGTGAGGGAATGTTTGCAGGTAATAAATCGCTTTTCCACTTGGACTGTTCTCATCATGTAGATCATAGTGAGCAGTATCAAAGCCCAGGATGGTTTGGGCCCATGGTACTTTGGGTTGGGACTGGAAAATTTTGAAGTTTTTGTCCACGAGAAAAATCAGGAAAATGCACTCGAATTTTGCAGTTTTCATTAAATTTCAAGTTTTCTCAAAACTAACATCGTGTTCTGAATTAGCATTAGAAACTCCATCGAGCAATCTTTGTTTCGGAGATCTCATGCAACTTTGACTTTGACGGTTGAGGAGACGTTGATGAGTGAGCACCAAAAACAAAAAAGTTTATGTTTATACTATTCGGATAAAAAAGGACGAATGGCAGATGACCTGTATTGGCTGGGAGTTTTGTTTAAAATATGCAAGCTTCGGGGTATGTGGGAAACAGTTTTAAATGTGGTCTCATCGTGAGGAAATCACGATGAAAAAAATTAAATGATTGCCGATGGGAAAGAAGAAAATTTGTGGAAAGTGAGAAAAACGTGTCTGTATCTTGAGACTAAAAGTCGGCTCTGATGATTTTGGGAATTTTAGTTTCTTATCCAGAGATACGGATTCCAGGTGTCAATCAGACCAACAGCATCAGTCTGCTCGTTCTACGTCGTTACTTTTTTCGTATTCAGCATCGAAAATACCTTGATTCTTGCGCCATTCGATCCATCTTGATCCATAGAACATAAGTATAACTCGATTTTTTCAAAATTTTGTTCAGTTGCTAAGAAAATTCATTTTTTCTCAATCACACGCGAAAAAGTCAGAACTCTGCGCTTAATTCTCGATTTTCTCCATCAGACGTCAACTTTTATGCAACAGAAATATCATATTTGGAATCAAGATCAGAGCCGGAGTCGAATAATATATATTTCAAAACTTTTCGTTGATTTTGATTTTTTGGTGAAAATCTCGGTAATTTTTCCACGTAAAAATTCGAAAAAAATTGAAGCTTTCGGATAGGATAGAAATTTATATCATTCGATTTAGTTCCTAATTCCGAGTATGATATTCTTAAATTGCGTAGAAGTTGAGTTTTGAAAGGAATAAGATAAAAAATGTTCAGTTTTTCGAATTTTGAGCACCTTCACGTATTTAGACATTTTCTCCAATCAAGATATAAAATGAGATGTGAAAAACTCTATCCTGTGATGTATGAATAAGTGGCAGTTCCTGATACCAATTGGTGTGAGTTGCGGTTCCTTAGCGTTTAACTGCTGGGTAATCACTGGTATTTTGACAGTGTTTAACACATGGACTTACTGTAGTAAGATATTTGCAATTCACTTGAGGAATTTTAGATTGATCTTCCTCTTGATGCTAGCTAGATGTCAGCTAGAAAATATGTATAACTGTTCATGATATTGACTGGTGTGAGTTCCGTAATATTTCATATTTTCTATTAGATTCTAAATTATTAAGAGGAAGGCTATTCTATCAACGTAAAAGCAGCGCAGCATATTTATTGATATCTCAAAATGGTTCTCTAGTTAGAAATGATTTATCTTGTTTAGTCGTATATGTGAAAGGAGTGGTTATTTAATAACAGAATGTTCATATTCGCTAGTACATTAGAACTAGCAATAACCCATTCATGTAAATTGTATATTGATGAAACTGTTGTTGATGAGCTAAATTAACTCAATCAATTTAGAAAACATGACAATAACAAAACTACAATATTTAAACTTAATACATTTAGTTCAGGAATTATACAATTATTGTACTTACTTCTATCGTTTATTGCAACCAAACGCAATGAAATATTTTGAATTATCCGGTTTCTGGCAAGCTCATGGAGATTTCACTGAACATATCGATGACATACGAAAACAGTTCATATTCCGAACAATGTATTAAAACAAGTTCAGTTATTCTTCAAAACGTCAGAAACTCTATCGGATGACGTATGAATAAGCCAAAAATAATATAGTGCTTAAACTTCGAATTAGGCGCGCCTTACTTTAGTCAGCAAAAACAAATTAGTTACATATAGTAAAACCAAAGGATTTACTCACAGTAAGAAAAGTTTTGATGTTCTACTATGCTGGGTCTCCTGTAAAACTATCTATGCTTGCGTTTCAAACCTTCCCAAATTTTCGATGCATATTTATCCCTGATTGCTGTTTCTTCGATATATTGATTTTCTTCGCAACCAGGAAATTTTCGAAAACGATCCATTGATGCGTAATGTGCTAACATTATTCGACTTTCAGATGGTTCTACTTTAGACAGACCTATTACCTGCTGATGAATCGATAAATACTGGACAAACCTTGGACGATAAAGATATTTTTGTCTACCACTTTTATGACGCGATTGAGCTCTTTGCGTGAACTTTTCAACAACTAATAAACTATCATCTCTTTCATTTTCACTAAGTCCACTTGCATTTTTTGCACAAAAAAAATTACTCCTTAGATTAATAGAACCAATAACTCGCCTACGGTACTCCTTCATCAAAAAATCACTAATGGTCTCATAAGGAGAAAGTGGAACCAAATATTCATCCAAATCAATAGTTCCCACCCATTCCGATTGATCTCCAAAGCGAAGAAAGCAATCATGAACAGCTTCAACTTGAAAATACCTTTGAGAATTCCCGTCTTTTAAACGCAATGAAAAAAAATTCCATTGTACAACGTCAATCAGGCCAAAATCCTTATCATAAGCAGCTAAGACAGATTCAAGTTCATTTGAGATGTCTGTGGAGTTATAAATGACAAATTTTGTAATACCAACTAAACGATGGAATTCAATCCATTGTGCTAAAAATTTGGCCTTGTTATGCAGGGGCGATGTACAAAGGGTTAGAGAAATAGGCTGATTTTGTAATAATGTTGGAATTTGTGGTATACTAACTTCAGCTTTCATGATAGGGTCTTTCGATGTCGTTGAAGCAACATATACTAAGATAGTTTCAGCTTTTCGTTGATTTGGCCGTAATTTGCTCATTCCATACTCCGTTAACGGACAATCCAAAAGTGACACCCTTTCATTGGTGTGATTTGAATCGTAGCTGTAAGCAGGTGAGACTGAACCATCTTCGAATATGCACCATAAATCTAACTGATGAGCTGAAAACGGCTGCTTTTGAGGAATTTTCTTTAGTCGTTTCTTGTCACGTAAAGTTGAACGAATATCCGTAGGATAAACCATAATAAATGTAATGCATCCACCATATCGTAATAAGCTAGCTTGAACGCTTAATATTAACAAATTTGAATCACTTGACAATCCTGGAACATTTGGAATACTAGTATTTGACGAAAAAGATCTTAAATAAACTCGATTGGATAAAGTAAGTATAAAGAACGGAATGCGAATTAATAGCGGTCGATAGTTTCTAACATTTTCTGTATTGAATGGAATCGCGAAATTGCTATACCTATTAGTGACGTTGGCGACCATAGTGTTAACAAAAAACTCCGATGAAATTGTGTCCATAGATAATTGACGTATTATTCCTTCGATTGCAGAAAAAAACCAAACTAGCGGAACGCACAATATAATAGTAACAACTTTATAAACAGGTTTCACGTCCCGAAACAGCTTACAAATGCCAACTCGAAATCTCATTTTGCTCCTATTCGTATATAATCGTTCATGACGTCTAAAAACAGATGCAGTCATATACCAGAGAAGTCATGAGCAAATATAACGGCTTTATCTACAGAAGCAAAAGAATAGTTAAGGTAGGTCCCCCATCTGATTTTTCTTTTGTAGAGGACACTTCGGAGTATATGCCCCCAAAACTTTTTTTGGTTCCCGAGCTTATAGTTTTCGAGAAAAAATTCTTTTAGTTTTTCCAGGTTTTTTGCCATTTCTTAAAATTTCAATAAAAAACTTCAGTTTTAGTTGTAAAGAGTTGATTCTACCGTAGTTCGATGGAAAACACTGAATTGTATATCAAAAAAATTTTCGTCATTCTGAAATGATGACGCAGAAGTTTCACTTTTACCTTCCTGATGAAATTTCAGGGCTTAAAAATGTTTTGCGAAAAAACTTTCAACCAGTTTCGGTCAAAGGAAGCCTTTTGAACCAATAGTATGGGTAGTTGTTCACTATCAAATTCTGAAGACCCTCACGTGAGTTTTCTCAAAATTCTCTTTTTTCAGTTTTCTCATTTTTAAGGACAGAAAACGAAAAGTAACGAAAACTTCAGTGTTTCAAAAAATGCGATGCTCCCTCACCTTGAAAAATTATATCTTACGCTTAATTGGAGCTACCCGGAGCAAGAGGCCAATAGCACCCCTCTTTAAATTCACCTAACAGAATAATTGGCGTAGGGACCCCTGACTCAACTTTTATTCACCCCGCCCTCACCCCTCACCCCCACCCTCACGCTCTCCTAAAGGTTATTCCTGATAGCATAAGACTAATTGAGCAGCGATGTCCTTGCATAAATCCTCTGTTGTACAGAAGCACATTACTTCTCAAGATAAGGATTCACTCAATACTAAATATGAAACTATCTTTAAGTGAGTCACGAAGACGGTTAGTATGAAACTTACCACAGGGAGACAAGAGCGAGTTGCTAGAAGGGTAGGGCATGAAAATCCTTAGAGATCCTTTAAGATAGCTTAAGGTTAGGCACAATATTTTCCATCCTCACTCTACGTTGCTTCTTCATTCCTGAAGGTCCGCATGGGTATGCATCCAGTGGGTGGTATGCTTATTTCTTGGTCCCCACGCTAACTGCGATTTAACTCTTTACCCAATCACTAGGGGTAGGTGTGGTATAATGGTTCCCTAAGCTGAGTGTAGGAAACCACAGCTGAAAAGGTAAAGCTTTCCAGTTCTTTACTCAATGGGAATGGAAGGTGCCGGGATATGCCATCGAAAGAGGTTTTCCCTTTCGAATGAAATTCAAAACCCCTAAGTAGTTTATGCGAAAATCTTATGGGTATTAAAGCCAGAGATCCTCTTCATACCATAGAAAGACGTCATTGGTTTGAGCATATAGGCTAGTCCTTGAAGTTGGGATACTCTGGCCTATGTCACTCCCTCAATGGTTCCTATTCAGAAGCGGTGGTATGCCAAAATCCTTGCGGAGTAGATTGATGAAGCAAACTTAGTTTATCTTTCACTATTTTGTCTCATTGTCAATTCCTCCCAAGAAAATACATAGCTTCAGCCTCTCCGCCATTTCCCAAGAATCTAATTTCCTGGATTAGTCTACTTTAAGCTTTGGGTCCTCACCCTAAAAAATCCTCTCCCCATCCTCTTGCTTCCTTTCCTTCTCTCTCTGCCTCTCCTGTTCTCAGCCTGGGGTTAATGAATTAATCTTGAGAGGGAGTAAGAGAAGTAAAGTAAGTGCGTGGTTCGACGGAGGATATTTTCAGGTAAACCCCAAGGATTAATACCTTACCCACTTAATAATTAATACCCACTTTCTGTTACATAAAATTTTTACGCTATGGCGAGTGTAAAAGAATTGAAAAGATTTTGAATAAATGACAAGATCCATTACACGGATAAAGGAGTATTATTTCTCTAAATCTACAAGAATTGTGCAAAAGAAAGATAAATGAATGGTCGTGTTCCTATGATAGATGTATGAAATATATATCTTTATTGAATGTTTGTCAATATTCACATTCATAGACTTCATCCCTGAGAAATTTAATCTGTTCGTTTCTGTTGGTTTCATTCAATAAATAAAAGTTTACGATTACCAACTACATGCAAAAATTTATCTATTACTTTCTCTATTTCTAAAAACTTCAGCTTAATTTTTGCACGTGGTTGGTAGTCATAAATTTTTATTTTTTTTTTTAAATTTTTTTCATAACTTTTTCATCCAGCTTTCTTTTGCACAAATCTTATAGATTTAGAGAAATACTACTCCTTTATTCGTGTAACGAATCTTGTCATTTATTCAAAAACTTTTCAATTCTTTTACACTCGCCATAGTGTAAAAGCTTGGTGTAACAGAAAGTTTGTTTCGTTTTCTTATTGCTCACTTTGATGGATTTTCTTTTTTAACTATATGAAAACCTTATCTGTATCTATACAATGATTTCTCCAATTTAGTGCAGATATGGTGAAATACTTTATTTAATACATAGTTTTTTTTTTGTTTTTTTTTTTAATCATAACGTTGTTTATTAAGAAAAGGATACAACAAAGTTGACTTAGCGAGCAGACCAAGGCGTGCAGAGTCAACCAAACAATCTAACGAAGAAGTAAGACAACTACATAGATAGATTGTACTTGTGAGTATAACAATAAAAGAGAAAGTACAGTAATAGACAAATGTCT